AGTCCATCTATTTATATTACTTTATGCATATGTTATGTCTCCTTTTTTTTAACTGCAGAGCAAACAAATCTATTGTGTAATAGGATTTAGAATTCTGTGTCTTTTTCTATAAATACTTTTTTGGTAATTCTTTGAATGAACTCTTCGCTATCGTGTCTGGCCTGTATGAATTTAAATGCAGTTCTAGACCGGCATCGAGATCTCATCAATTTACAGTTCGTCACGTTACATGTTAACTGTAAGTTCTATGCTAATAATTTCTTTTCTCGCACGTCTCGCTTGTGGAACGCACTTCCGGCTCCGTGCTTTACAGCCAACTTTAATCTGCAAAAATTTAAATGCAATGTCAATTGCTATCTACTGTCCTTCTGATTACTCTTTCCTCTTCCCGCTCATTAGTTAATGTTATTTATTTTACACCCTGTAACCCCTTGTGTATTAGTGGCTTTACAGCCTTGCATGGGGTGATATTGATTAAAACAAAAAAGAAGTAATACTGATATGCTGTAAAACAAACGAAATCAAGCCTTGAAATATAATAAGGATGTACACTGATATAACACGATGCTACATATGATATATATATATATATATATATATATATATATATATATATATATATATATAAAAAGGAAAGAGGTTATAGTAGTTCCAACGAGAGAAAAGTGTGTATATTAAAAAGAAGAGAGAAACCGCAAATGTTTTTGGTTGTAATGTGTATATTTTAAAATATATTATGCTTTATTTTTCATGGAAATGTTTATGGAAAATGAAGCATAATATATACTTTTTTTAAAAAATGCACATTACAACCAAAATCGTTTGTGGTTTTTCTTTTTATATATATATATATATATATATATATATATATATATATATATATATATATATATGAAGGCAGAAAATTGTTGTTGTACTTCACAATAGCAAAGCGTTTAGATTTTTGAGGACCAAAGTTGACTGGAAATTAATGAACTAGAAATGGATTCCACAAGTGCAAGAGAAGAAACCGTTAGCATAGAACTTAGGGTTACATGTAGCCAACTTAACTGTAAAATGGTGAGATCTGGTTGCCAATCCACGACTGTGCTTGAATTGGCAAAGGCGAGATACCATAGAGAAAAGCACATCTGAACGATTGCCATGAAAAAATTCATGGAAAAGTTATAGAGAAGTTACGTTGGGAAATTGACTGAAGCCAATAACATTGCAGATTCTTCTTTGGATTCTGTCAAGAATCTCTAAATACGTAGTAGAAACGCCAGACAAGACGTGACAGCAATAATCAATGTGTGGATGAGGGTAGACTTCAGTCAGTTATGTGCCATGCGTAATACACGCTTAGGAGATCATACATGGCCGACAAGGCAGATTTTTCCCGCCATAGGTTGCCATTTCTTTCTGCCGTAGACCAGTTGCCATCCAAGGCTACAGAACCTGGTCTGTCCTGCTATTTATCCATAACTTGGAGGAGAAGAAGATTCATACCTTTTTCAAGGATATTAGCACCTAAATGAGTGTAATGGATTCGACTGGAACTGAACGACACATCACCCACCGACACGAACAATGGCTGGGAGAAGAAGAGGATTCATACCTTTCCCAAGGGTATTCGCACGTAAGTGAATGCAATGGATTCGACTGGAATTCGAACTCCGCTCTCCGATTCCTCAATCCAAGCCGCTAACCATTCCTCTTTATAAAGTTCAATTGTATTACGTCTTACATGTAATCACAATACGATTTGATGATTTAAATATGCGAAGACTGGAGGTTATATGCAAATATTACGCGATTTTGTATAAAGGACTTTAGTATCCATAGATGTTTGTATCCACGTGGGGTCCTGAAGTTAATTTGCCGCTGATACCGGTGGATGACTGCATTCAGATTCATCCACACGAAAACTGGCCAATGTGCAACATTTTGCCATTGTGTTGTATGAATGACGGACAACGTGAAGGAGTGGATGCCGATGCCTTGGCCACGAGGGAAGGCTAATTTGCCGCAAGAGGCGTCAACTCATGTCCGGGCGAGTTTGCCTAGGTATGAATCGGGACCAATTGCAAAGCAGAAATATTTATTTTCGAAAAGCAAAGCAAAGCAAAACAATAACAAACTAGCCAGCTTTGACGGTCAAGCGAGTGCACGTTTGAAAAAAATACGTTCATGTAAAAAGAATCTTCTTGGATCTTTTATCTTTTCAAGTAAGAAGAAAAAAACGAGAGCATGTGAGAACGTCTCCCTTTAGACACACACACACACACACACATACACACACACACACACACACACACACATATATATATATATATATATATATATATATATATATATATACTTTAAAAATGTGGAGATCAGTTGAATCCACATGTTGGTTTCAACCTTACGGTATCTTTTAGGCGTTTTTTTTTATCAAATGACATCTTCTGAACGCTTTTTTATTTTTAGAAGAAGAAGTAAAAAAAAAAAACGAGAGCATGTGAGAACGTCTCGCTTATATATATATATATATATATATATATATATATATATATATATATATATATATACTTTAAAAAAAAGATATAAATAAATATATATATATATATATATATATATATATATATACTAAAAAATAGGAAGAAAGAGAAAAACCTGAGCGCATGTGAGAACGTCTCCCTTATATATATATATATATATATATACTTTAAAAAAAATATATATATATATATATATATATATATATATATAAAAAAAAGAAGAAGAAAAGAAGTAAGAAAAAAAAACCTGAGCGCATGTGAGAACGTCTTCCTTTATATATATATATATATATATATATATATATATATATATATATATATATAATAAAAAAAGAAGAAGTAAGAAAAAAACCGCGCGCATGTGAGAACTTTTTCCTTTATATATATATATATATATATATATATATATATATATATATATAGAAGTATATATATATATATATATATATATATATTTAAAAGAAGAAATATATATATATATATATATTTAAAAGAAGAAATATATATATATATATATATATATATATATATATATATATATATATATATATATATATATATTAAGAAGAAGAAGAAAGCTAGTGCATTGTAAATGTATTGGTGGGGGTATTAATTACTTTTTTATCCAGCTTCATATGTGCTTAAGAAAAATTTTCAATATGTAAGTAAGGGCCTAAGACTTCGGATTTCTGGTTTAAAAGGTTCTTTGGATCCGGAAATGCTATAATTGCTAATTTTTCCTGTTAGGTTGCAAATATTGTCGTCATCATCGTTGAAGGCCTTGCCTTTTTTAAAAACTTCCACCTTACAATAGGATCCCTGTTGCTTTTTTTCTTTTAAATTAGCTAGTTTGGTAGAATACCTAAGATTTACTAACTTAAATGACGACCTATGATTTTACCATCTACGTTTGAAAGTACCTTCCGTACATCCTATGCACGTTTTATTTTGGCCATTAATATCTGCAGTTTTGTAATATAAATTATAGCTTCTTTTTTACAGTTTCCATTTACAATTTAATAATAATAATAATAATTTTAATGGCCAGAGTTTAATTAGACATGGAAAAAGTATTATTAAAAAGTGCTCAATACTCATATAAAAATATAAAAATTTAATATGCAGCGCTTTTAATTAGAGAAAAATTAGGAAATCCCCTGATTCCGCTACCTTGGTTTCAACCTTTTGGTATCTTCAGGCGATTTCGATCAAATGATTTCTTAACGCTTTATGTTATATAGATTTTTATTTTGTGCTTCTTTTAAAATAAAAAAAGCGTTAGGTGGTTAGATGATAAAAAATCGCCTGATGAGATCGTAAAGCCGAAACCCTGGTTGCGTATTCAACTGACCTCCTGATTTTTAAAGTATATATATATATATATATATATATATATATATATATATATATATAAAAATTAGGAAATCAGACGATTCCGCTGCCTTGGTTTCAACCTTTTCGGTATCTTCCGGTGATTTCGGTCAAGTGATTTTCTTACACTTTATTTTTTTAAAAATCCATTTGACCCCCTCCCCTTCTAACAGACCTCACGTCGTGCCCTTATTTATTTATTTTTAAATACTATAGCGTTTATTGAATTTTTAAAAAAATAAAGCGTTCGGAAATTAATTGGCCGAAATGGCCTAAAGATATTGAAAGGTTGATGTTACAACATTTCACCCTAGTTATTAGCTAGACGGTTGACCTGTTAGGGATATAAGGTGCTGCCAGTTTAGACGTGCGATGTGTGGAGGAGATAATGGAGTACGCTTCGAAATGAGAAATTGGAGACGGGTTCGAATTCCAATCGGGTTCTTTACATTCTGTTACGCTCAAATATGCTTGGGTGACCATGAATCAAAAAGAAACAGGATCACCCAAGCGTGTCACATCTGCCCCTCTCAGCACGCACTGGACCAGCGCGGTAGGGTAACGGCCCATTCCTGCCCATGAATCTGGAGGGAGGACATTCACAGGCTGAGAAGAAGAATAATGAGAGAGAAAGAGTAAGAGATATAGAGAGACTTAGACTGAGAGATAGAAAAGGCGAAAAGAGATTAAGAAATATAGAGAGAATTTATAGAGAAAAAGAGAGATCGAGTAAAATAGAGAAAATCAGACAGAAAATGAGATGGCGATAAAAAAAAAGGAGCAAAATAGAGAGAATAAGTGAGAAATAAGGGGAGAGAGAAGTATAAGAGAGACTGACAGCCATGAACAATACTCCATACTAATTTTAATCCGAGTAAATTTCATGGTTTGAATTTTCTGATGAATCTTAATTCTTCAGTTAATGATTGAATAAGCTCATACTAAGTTCTACGACAATCCATAAAAATTCTCTTGAATATTTCAACTTAACTTTATCAAAATGTTGCAATGATTATCATAAATATGAATGTTGGTCATTATTTTAAGAAGTAAGGGGGTACAAATGAAAAGATTTGAAATTAACAACTTTTCCCATTTTACCAAAACATGTTAAACACTTCTCTTTACATTTCTTTCTTTATTTATTTTTCTTTCTTTCTTTCTTTCTTTTTTCTTTCTTTCTTTTTTTTTCCTTCTTTCCTTCTTTCTTTCTTTCTTTCTTTTTTCTTTCTTTCTTTCTTTCTTTCTTTATTCCCTTCTTTCTTTATTTTTTTTCTTTCTTTCTTTCATTCTTTCTTTCTTTTTTCTTTCTTTCTTTTTTCTTTCTTTCCTTCCTTCTTTCTTTCTTTCTTTCTTCATTCCATTCGTTCTTTCTTTCTATCTTTCTTTTTTACTGAAACCAAGTAGTATCTTTTCCCCTTTTACCACGCAACCAAAACGGAATAGTCAATTATTTATGAGTTATTGAAGGGGCAGAAGATAGTGAGAAAGTTTATGTCCATAACTCTCCCTGTCCTAACGAAATGAGAGACAAGTGCAATTCTAATAGGATAGAGTGGGCTAAAGGCATGAACCCTACACTGAGAAGGCAATGAATATAGACTGAAGCATCGATTACATAACTATTTCATGGCGGCGTATTTGTCATTTAATCCCATCAATATGTTTCATAATATTCGGGATTGAAGATACACCAACAAAAGTATTCCAATCTGATTCTTTACTGATGTGTAGGGGGGGGGACAATGAATAGCGCCTCGGAATGAGAAATCGGAAAGCCGACTTCGAATTCAAGTCGATTTCCTTACATTCATTTACGGACAAATACCCCAGGCATAGGTATGAATCCATCTGGCATCTCGTCTACAGTCACTCAAGGGGATGACACGTGTACAAACGCGCTGTAGCTTTGACAAGCTACTTTCACTGGTACCCCAACTGCATGAATTTAGGCGTGCTATTAGTTTGGTAACTCAGTCCCACCCTTTCACTGTCGAAATGCTTAAATGTAGTTGTCTCTTCTACTCCAACAGCTTCTTCTCATGCACTTCCCGACAGTGGCACTCCTTTCCTCTTACTTCCTTCCCTGATAACTCTAATCTTCAAATATTCAAATGTAATGTCAATCGACATCTTCTGATATCTTGATCCTGATCCCTGTCCTTCTCTATATCCTTTCCTCAAACACCACTCTTTACTCTTGCGCTGGATCTCTGTAACCCCTTGTATGCTAGTGACACTCCCGCCTTGCTTGGGATGATTTTTTTTTAAAGCGTTTCACCCCAAGCAAGGCGAGAAGCCACTAGGACGCCAGGGGTTACAGAAGATTTCGAGCAAGATCAGATAGGAGTGATAGAGGAAAGGATGAGGAGAAGGATAGTGGATAGATCAAGGCAACTGGAAATGTCGATTGACATTACATTTGAATAGTTAGAGATTATAGCTCACAGGGAAACTGGAATAGGGAAGGGAGTTCCACAGACGAGAGGTGCGAGGCTTAAAAAATGTTTTCTCTCCTCTTTCAATTTAATCTGATTATTAAAGTAGCCATTCATCTATATTATTCTACCTCTGTCCCATAATGATTGTTCCATTTAATCTATGAAATAGGTATGTAAACGGAACAATCGTTATGGGACAGAGATGGAAACTCCCTTCCTCCTACTTGCTTCCCCTGATAGCTATAATCTTCAAATATTCAAATGTAATGTCAATCGATATCTTCTGATGTCTTGATCCTGATCCCCATCCTTCTCTTAATCCTTTCCTCAAACACCCCTTTTTACTCTTGCTTTCACTCTCTGTAACTTCTTGCGTGCTAGTGGCACTCCCGCCTTGCTTGGGGTGAAATGTCTAAAAAAATCTCTTCACCACCATAAAGTAGAACGGCAGACTAATCTCTCTAGCCATGATTGGCAGCCAGCATAAGGGACGAACAGCTCTGAATTCAAAAATTATAACGATTAAAGCACGTGTCATCCTCTTATATTTATTGATTCTAATGAATTCAGTACATTAATGATTTAGTTTCCGAGACATACTTATTAACCATCAGGTTACATTAGGTGCCTTAGTATGTAATAATTCCCAGTTAGACTGGAACAAGAGTTAAACAGGAAAGCGTTCGATGCCGCGTACACAAGGATGAATCATACTCATTCCCTTCGTATTCCATTAGTAAGGAAGAAGTTCCACTCAGACAGATTCTTCCCAATTACTACAATCTTGACCTTTAGGGTTAACCATTATGTTTCCTCATGAACTTCATGTCTTGCCTTTTCTGATGCACATAGAACACCACAAGTAGCCTTCTACTTTGAGTAGCTCTTGTGCCTTGCATTAGTTGAAAATTAGGGGAGAAAGAATTTCGTTTTTGAATAAAATAATAAATTATACTTTTATTTTTTAATGAAATAAACCTATATTAATTTGTGATTTTCTGTTGACTGAAATCGCAAATTGAAGTTCCATATCGCTGTAATCATTTTTGTATCTATCAAATGATATTTTACACTATTGTTCGCCAAATACGAGACACAAGAGCCTTTCAAAGTAGAGAGTTATTGAATAAGGCTGTCTATGGACGTAAAAGAAGGAGGAGGAAAGAAGTGCAGATTATGAGGTATACCCATATAACCTAGATGTGAAGAGGTTAAGATTGCAACGAGCAGGAAAGCATCCACGCGGGAATCTGTGACACAAATCAGCGGCTCGTGGGAAGAAGCTGTCCGAATGGAACTTGCAATGCAAATACGAAAGTGATGAGGATGATTCGACCCTTTGAATATGGGGCGGTGATTTTTTTTTTAGCCGGAAATGTCCTAACTGGTGGCATTAAGGAATAAATACCATTTCAAGTTCAATTTGTGACTAATCAAAGTCATTTTGGGACTAAGCAAATTCAAAATGAAATAGCCAAGTTCAGAATGGGACTAAGCAAATTCAAAATGAAATAGCCAAGTTCAGAATAGGACTAAATTCAAAATGAAATAGCCATGTTCAGAATAGGACTAAGCAAATTCAAAATGAAATAGCCAAGTTCAGAATAAGACTAAGCAAATTCAAAATGAAATAGCCAAGTTCAGAATAAGACTAAGCAAATTCAAAATGAAATAGCCAAGTTCAGAATAGGACTAAGCAAATTCAAAATGAAATAAGCAAGTTTGATTTGGAACGAAGCAAATTCAAAATGAAATAAGCAAGTTTGATTTGGATCGAAGCAAATTCAAAATGAAATAAGCAAGTTTGAACTGGAACGAAGCAGATTCAGAATGAAAAATTGTTTCCAACTTACCTGCTCGTTTTAATAAACAAATATCATGGATTAAAAAATCAACTGGGTGGTAAATAAAATAATTAAAAATCGGAGTGCAGCGTTGCGTAAATTTTACTATCAGTTCCTTACAAGAGTCTATTCTTGAACGGATAAATTAGTGTCAAAGTTAGAGTTTGTGGCACTTTCATTGGTAAGACAATCAGGGAGAAGAGAAGAGAGAAAGAAAGAGATGGATAGACTGTATATAGTGTTAAAAAAAGAGAATAAGAGAGAGACTTATTTAAAATGAAATGTTTTGGTGGACAGCAAGGCAAATCTAGAAAGTCCTAAGAAAATGCAGCAAGGAAATACTGAATGCATATATCAAGACAGAGTTTGAAAAAAGATAGGTATAGTGAGAGATTTTAAGCGCTGAAAGTTGCATCCAAAAAACATACACCTTTCATGAATTTTCTTGATTTATTGATTGCTCCTAGAAGATAAAACATTTCAATAGGAAAGTTTAGTTGAATATTATTATTTTATCATGAAAATATTTAATTTTATAGTCTTAGCAAAATAATTGCTCAGTCCCAAATTGAATTTACCTAATCCATTTTGAACTTGCTGAGTCCCAAATCAAATTTGCTTATTCCATTTTGAATTTGACTATTTGATTTTGAATTTGGCAATTTCATTTTGAACTTGCTTAGTCCCAAAATGACTTTGCTTTGTCCCAAATTGACCTTGAAATGGTATAGAAAAGCCATGGTAAATATTGTCAGAAAATTTGCCATGGAAATAGCGATCGAATAATAAGAAGCTGGCAACGTTTTGTCTGTGTTAAATAAAGCAAAACAGGCATATATCGACCCGCCAGGATTTTCCCTGCCTTAATTGGGGTTTGTTTTGTATGAACATTAGCATAAAAATTCTAACAATTGATTTGTCAATGGAGTTTGTTCACACATTAGCTACAATAAGCGCCCAAAGTTAGTTTATTTTATTTTATTTTATTATTTTATTTTTATTTTTTACCCAAATATTCAATAACGAACGTAAGGCGATTCTGAACCCGTAGGCTCGGACAAAAATTGCCTGTAGACCCTGTATACAAGGGGTCGGGTAGCTGTCTAACTGCCTAGACTAGACTCTGCCCTTCGGCGTAGCCTCGTCTAGGTTCCACTCTGCCTGGAGGCAGAGAGCAACACACATAGGTTTTGCTGTATTAGAGGACATCGCTTATTATAATCAAAGGTAACAGTATAAGCCGGTTATTGTTATCAAAATCAGTCGGTTCCGTAATTTTTTTTTTTTTAAATGAATGAAAAGTTATAGTAACAGTTTTGGATTCATTTTATTAATGTAAAGCTGTTTACAACATTGTAAATTGTTCCAGTCTTTATATCCTTTGCCTAATGTTATCAGTCGGTTATTGTGATCTAAAAGATAGTCCTAAAAAACATAAGCGACATCGTCTGTTTGGCAAAGGTCAACATTGCCAACAAAACAACCTTTTTTTTTATTATATATTTACATGTTTAGATGAAGCGTTTTGATTTTTTTATTTTATGGTTAGTTTTACCCGATCTTATTGTTGGTGTTTTTTTTTATCGCAGCACATTTGATGATGATGATTCTTCTTCTTCTTCTTCTTCTTCTTCTTCTTCTTCTTCTTCTTCTTCTTCTTCTTCTTCTTCTTCTTCTCCACCACCACCACAACATACACTCAAGTAAGGCCGAAATGTACTCAACTTTAACGTTGTGATCAAATAAAACAGCAAATAAAACAATCCGAAATAAATACATGGTGATTGAAATGTAGCTCCCTATTTTATGTATGATGGACTCTCCTATCTAACTATAATTTTTACAAAACGGGAGAGTCCATCATACATAAAATAGGGAGTTACATTTCAATTATCCTGTATATAAAATAACTATCCGTTTATTGCACTCTTCCTCCTAAGCGCTTTTCTTTCTTTCTTTCTTTCTTTCTTTCTTTCTTTCTTTCTTTTCCTTCGTCTATTTTCATTTATCCTTCTTTTCACTTCTTTCTTTCTTTCTTTCTTTCTTTCTTTCTTTTCCTTCGTCTATTTTCATTTATCCTTCTTTTCACTTCTTTCTTTCTTTCTTTCTTTCTTTCTTTTCCTTCGTCTATTTTCATTTATCCTTCTTTTCACTTCTTTTCTTTCTTTCTTTTCTTTTTTTCTTTTCCTTCTATCTATTTTCATTTATCCTAGTATTTTTTACTTCTTTTCTTTTGAGTTCTTTCTTTCTTTTTCCTTCGTCTATTTTCATTTATCCTTCTTTTCACTTCTTTCTTTCAACGAAATCTTTTTATTTCTTTTCTTTTTTCCTTCGTCTATTTTCATTTATCCTTCTTTTTTCACTTCTTTCTTTCTTTCTTTCTTTCTTTTCTTTCTTTTCCTTCAAGTCTGTATTTTCATTTATCCTTCTTTTTTTTCTCTTCTTTCTTTCTTTCTTTTGCTTTCTTTCTTTTTCTTTCTTTTCCTTCGTCTATTTTCATTTATCCTTCTTTTTAATTGGTTTCTTTCTTTCTTTCTTTTGTTTCTTTCTTTCTTTTCCTTCGTCTATTTTCATTTATCCTTCTTTTCACTTCGTTCTTTCTTTCTTTCTTTCTTTCTTTCTTTTCCTTCGTCTATTTTTATTTATCCTCCTTTTCATTTCTTTCTTTCTTTTTTTCTTTCTTTCTCAGTCTGTTCTATCTATCTCGGGGCAGAGTAAATGTTAGTATGATTAACCATTACTACCCAGTAATGAGTTCGATCCTCACTGGGTGCCCCCATAAAAATTCGTATTCAACATAAAAAAAGCTTGCAATGTTAAATCAACGAAATCTCAGCAATTTATTTAACGCCTTTTTCCTTGCTATCTTACAGTACACATGGTGTCGCTCAATATTTTGGCCTTATGTCAGACAAAAATACACCCCTATCGAACAAGGCTGTATCACTTGAATTAAACGCTTGGATTTTTTTCTCTCGCTTCAGAAGCAAACTTGGTGACATAATTGCAAGCAGTAAGCAAATAACTTGAATTTGCACAAACTTCATCCTGACCATAATTAATAAAGTCATTTTTAATTGGTTTGCTTAATTCCTGAAAGTTTTTGTGTCATTTGGATTAATTAGAAGATTATGACCCCGAGCAAATGGGTGCATAGAGGCAAGCACGCTGGGACAGATACACATGTATAGACACATCGTAGCAGGTACAGAGAGACAGACACACAGAGACAGACACAGAGTGACAGACACACAGAGACAGGCATGTAGAAACCGGCACACAGGGACAGGTGCAAAATGACAGATAAACAGGTACAGGTACAGAGCGAGAGGTGCATAGCGACAGATACGCGCAGACAGGTACATAAAGACAGGTACACACAGACAGGCATGCAGAAATGGACATACAGGGACAGATACACGGAGACAGACACGCAGACACAGACACAAAGAAACAGGTACACAAAGACAGGTACACAGAGAGAGGTACACAAAGAGAGAAACGTAGAAACAGGCCCACAGGTACAGCGACAAAGAGATAGGTACGCTAAAATTGGCACACAGTGACACGTACACAGAGACAGACACGCAGAAACAGGCACACATGGACAGCGCCCAGGGACAGGCATATAGTGATGGACACGAAGATACAGGTCCAAAGAAACAGACAAGTAGAGACGGGCAAGCAGAGTAAACACGCAGAGACCGGGGCTCGGGGGCAGGCATATAGAGATAGACACGATAAACAGATCCAAAGAAACAGGCACACAGAGACAAGCACGCAGACAAGTAGAAACGGGCAAGCAGAGTTATACATTCAGAGACCAGCGCTCAGGGGCAGGCATATAGTGATGGACATGAAGAAACAGGTCCAAAGAAACAGGCACACAGAGACAAGCACGCAGACTAGTAGAGACGGGCAAGCAGAGATAAACACGGAGAGGCCAACGCCCAGAGGCAGGCATATAGTGATAGACACGAACAAGCAGGTCCAAAGAAACAGGCACACAGAGACAAGCACGCAGACAAGTAGAGACGGGCAAGCAGAGATAAACACGTAGAGACCGGCGCCCAGGAGCAGGCATATAGTGATGGACATGAAGAAACAGGTCCAAAGAAACAGGCACACAGAGACAAGCACGCAGACAAGTAGAGACGGGCAAGCAGAGATAAACACGTAGAGACCGGCGCCCAGGAGCAGGCATATAGTGATGGACATGAAGAAACAGGTCCAAAGAAACAGGCACACAGAGAAAAGCACACAGACAAGTAGAGACGGGCAAGCAGAGATAAACACAGAGACCAGCGCTCAGTGACAGGCATATGGAGATAGACACGATAAACAGGTCCAAAAACAGGCACACAGAGAAAGCACGCAGACAAGTAGAGACGGGCAAACAGAGATAAACACGCAGAGACAGGCGCTCAGGGGCAGGCATATAGTGATGGACATGAAGAAACAGGTCCAAAGAAACAGGCACACAGAGACAAGCACGCAGACAAGTAGAGACGGGCAAACAGAGATAAACACGCAGAGACAGGCGCTCAGGGGCAGGCATATAGTGATGGACATGAAGAAACAGGTCCAAAGAAAGAGGCACACAGAGACAAGCACGCAGACAAGTAGAGACGGGCAAGCAGAGATAGACACATAGAGACCAGCGCCCAGTGACAGGCATATGGAGATAGACACGATAAACAGGTCCAAAAAAACAGGCACACAGAGACAAGCACGCAGACAAGTAGAGACGGGCAAGCAGAGTTAAACACGCAGAGACCGGCGCTCAGGGGCAGGCATATAGTGATAGACATGAAGAAACATGTCCAAAGAAACAGGCACATAGAGACAAGCACGCAGACAGGTAGAGACAGGCAAGCAGTAATAAACACGTAGAGACCTGCGCCCAGGTACAGGCATATAGTGATAGACACGAAGAAACAGGTCCAAAGAAATAGCCACACAGAGACAAGCACGCAGACAAGTAGAGACGGGGGGCAGGCAAGTGATAGACAGAGAAACATAAACACGCAGACAGGTAGGCCAACGCCCGGGGCAGGCCCAGGTACAGGATAGACACGAAGAAACACGTCCAAAGAAACAGGCACACTGAGACAAGCACGCAGACAAGAGAAGACGGGCAAGCAGAGATAAACACGCAGAGGCCAGCGCCCAGAGACGGGCATATAGTGATAGTCACGAAGAAATAGGTCCAAAGAAACAGGCACACTGAGACAAACACGCAGACAGGTAGAGATAGGCAAGCAGAAATAAACACGTAGAGACCGGCGCCCAGGTACAGGCATATAGTGATAGACACGAAGAAACAGGTCCAAAGAAACAGGCACACAGAGACAAGCACGCAGACAAGTAGAGACGGGCAAGCAGAGATAAACACGCAGTGGCCAGCGCCCAGGAGCAGGCATATAGTGATAGACATGAAGAAACAGGTCCAAAGAAACAGGCACACAGAGACAAGCACGCAGACAAGTAGAGACAGGCAAGCAAAGATAAACACGCAGAGACCAGCGCCCTGTGACAGGCATATAGTGATAGACTCGATAAACACGTCCAAAGAAACAGGCACACAGAGACAAGCACGCAGACAAGTAGAGACGGGCAAGCAGAGATAAACACGCAGAGACCAGCGCCCAGGGACAGGCATTTCGTGATAGACACGAAGAAACAGGTCCAAAGAAACAAGTCTAAAGAAACAAGCAAGCAGACATGTAGAGACAGGCAAGCAGAGATAAACACGCAGAGACCAGTGCCCAGGGGCAGGCATATAGTGACAGACACGAAGAAACAGATTTAAAGAAACAGGCAGTCTAAAGTAGTTTCTCATAGGGAGACGTTTCCCGAGTTCCTGATTTATGGCGATGATTAAATCTAGCAGACTAGTTTAGGGGTTTCGATCATCGCCAACAGATCCACTACTATGACTGTGCGTCTGAATTAAATAAATTCATTAACTGACTTTCTAATTACAAAGTTCGTCTTGTTAGTGCGTTGAATGTACTTCTCGCTTGATACCCCAGTAGTGTGATCTTGTGCCAGACTATGCTAATTTTATTTCTGTCTGAATTTTTTTTTTATGAGGATTTCTCATTATTTACATTAATTACAATCAGACTAATGGGCACATTAGAACGTTCGCTTTCTGATCATGAGCCCCGGGTTCAAATCGCATCATGGTCGATTTGTCAGGCTGATTACTTATCAGGTACTTATGGAGGAGGCGATCTATGCGTGCGGCACCTTTGGAAAGTTTCTGAAAACCATAATATGGGTTGACCCTATCTTTGAAAAACTGGGTAGTTGGTGATTGTGCTAGCACGAAGTCACAAGTCATCGTGACCGAGGGTTTGAGTGTGCTGGTGTTGTTCAAACCGTTGATCACACTAGATAACGCGCTATCTCCCAGAAACTCTAAGGTCTTGTCAACATAGTTGCAGTATAAACCACAGGTGGGCTGTGTGGGTGTTGAACAAAAACAAATGTGCCTGAGCAGGCGTCTGCAATGGGGATTAGCTAGCCACCCTAGTAGGCTGGGATCCTCGGATTCGAGGGGCTGCGCCATTTACGTAATTTACAATCGGACTATTGTCGTCATCATTGTTGTTATTATCAAAATGTTTCGGACGTTCTACACTCCGACCTTCATTAGATGCTTGAAGATCCGGGTAGCTTGCAGGAAATTTCAAAATGAACTCTTTATTGAATTTTCGAGGTAGATTCTTCTCATGTTTAGAACGCTAATCTCGTTCAGTCGTGTAATGTGTTCGGATTTTTTTTCTAGGAACTCGACTCTTGCTCCAGCTGAGCATATGGAAATGTGATTATCATCCGCCAAACCACTGAAGCTAATCTCCCGAACCATTGCTGTTATCCTAAATCCTGAGCGGCTCATGCTTTTAGATTTGTGCCGTACAAGCAGAGTAAAGAACTACTAGGAGACTAGATGCAGTAATTATTTTTTTTTTTTTTTAAGCATATAATCCAAAGCAAGGGGGGGCGCCACCACAAAGCAAGGGGTTATAGAGAGTGAGCGTAAGAGGAAAGAGGTGTGTTTCAGGAAAGGATAAAGAGAAGGACGGGGGTCAGGATCAAGACATCAGAAGATGTCGATTGACATTACATTTGAATATTTGAAGATTATAGCTAACAGGGAAGCAACTAGAAAGAAGGGAGTTCCACTGACGGGAAGTGCGAGAGAAAAAGCTGTTGGAGTAGAAGTGCTGGTTATAATTTAACTGCTTCGACAGTGAAAAGGTGGGACCAAGATGCCAACCTAGTAGCACGCTTAAATCCAAGATGCCAACCTAGTATCACGCTTAAATTCATGCAGTTGGGGTACCAGTGAAAGTCGCTCGTCAGAGAAATTGCCATGAAAATATTTGTGGAACAGTCAGAGGGAAGTCACAGCACGTCCGTGAGAAATTGACTGTAGACGAGATGCCAGATCAGTACCTATCACATTGCATATCCGTCTCTGGATTTCGTCGAGGACCTCAAGATGAACAGCGGAGGCACTAGACAATATATGGCAGCGGTATCCAATGCAAGGACGAAATAATATGGCTTTATACCAGGGCTATCTTAGAGCAACGGTTACAAAGCTATCCTTACAAATGATTCGATAGTAAATTATTCTTACCTAATTCATAATTATTCTATCCTTGTATCAGTGATTATGTTCAATGGGCACTTTCAGTAATGGGAATAGCAAATAAAGTGACATAGAGCCTGACAATGTATATCATTATCAGAGGCTTTTGTCAGACTTATTTAATTAAAGTATATAAGCCCCCCACCCAGAAGTCTTTAATAAGAACTTTATACCTGCCTGACTGCGGAAATTATTCTTTTCTTGTCATCAGCATTTCGTTTCGGCTAAATGTGCTCACGTTGAAGGTTTTGTATGCAACACTTCTCTACTTTTCCGTTAAGTGGCGCAACCTCGTTGCTTTATTTCTCATCTCCGGCAAAGTTCCAGTTGGTTAACCGCAACCGAATGAATTGTAGAAGGCATTTCTTGCCTGCAGACAAAATCCAACATGGGGAAACAAAAACGTGATATTTTGGTTTTATATTATTTTGTTTTACATTATTTTGCATTTGAAAAAAATTCCTTTAGTAAATATTTTTCTTTACGAAATTATTTGCATCAAAAAAGAAAAGCCAGAAAGAAATATATAATTGATTATGTCTCACCGTAAGTTCCATAATGTTCTCCGTCTGCAACGTTATCGGTCTTGACCTGGCATCTCGGCTTCAGTTACCTTCCCGCCGCCCGAATGTAGCTTCTCGGTGCCTTTTCTATAAATAAACAAGACGGCTTTTTCGATCAAATAAAAGGTCCCGTGAGACATTTTGTGAATTCCCATGTCTTCTTGGAGCGGTTTCCATTGTCTTCTCTAGAAATTTGAGTTCACGATAATCCTTTTTCTCAACTGGTTAGGATCTTAAGATGGCTAAGCTCTTACCACGTCGTTATTCTGACACTGCGACTGATAGATTTCACAAGTCGAAATTTATGAGGAAAAGAACAAACTACAGATGCTTAATAAATTCTCATAAAAAACTGTTAAACGTTTGAGCCTTGACCACCATTTTACTGGTGTTAGAGACAAATGCCGTAATGCCCAGCCACCGATTAAACAGCGGTAGAGAAAAATGACTTAATGGTAGGTTAAACAGTGGTAGAGAAAAATGCCGTAATGCCCCCCCAGCCACCGGTTAAACAGTGGTAGAGAAAAATGCCGTAATGCCCAAACAGTGGTAGAGAAAAATGCCGTAATGCCCACACCCCCGGTTAAACAGTGGTAGAGAAAAATGCCGTAATGCCCAGCCACCGGTTAAACAGTGGTAGAGAAAAATGACTTAATGCCGAGCCACCGTTTGAACAGTGGTAGAGAGCAATGATTTAATGCCCATCCACCGGTTGAACAGTGGTAAAAAAAATATCGTAATACCCAGCAACCGGTTGAACAGTGGTAGAGAAAAATGTCATAATACCCAGCAACCGGTTGGACAGTGGTAGTGAAAAATGACTTAATTACCAGCCACCGGTTGATCGGTGGGTATGCACTTGTAACTATTTTTATATCCACCCTGAAACATTAAATACCAATTATTTGCGAATTTTGACTCATGAGCTCTAGCAGAAGGGTTAAAACTATCCAAGAACGCAGGGAATAATAAACGAATGATAAAAAACACCATAACGACTTGATTAAGTCCGCTAGTACCATATAGGTGACAGTTTCAAATGTGAGAAGTATTTTTGCCGCACCCTGTATATTCGTTCTGTAGGCGACCGATCGTTTAATAAAACTGCTACTTAAGATGGTTAATTGCTTGTCACGCTGCTACCGATAGATTTCACGGGTCGAAATTTATGAGAGAGAAAAAAAAAAAGAAAACAAACTCCAGATGCTTGCGTGGTAATTTGTTCGGAAGTTATCTTTTAAAATATCATTTTTTTTTCTTAATAAATTCACATAAAACAAACTGTTAATAATAAAAGAATGAACGAACTGGTTCAGAAGAAAAAGTAAAATATCGATCAATGGGTGAGGAGAGCCCGTAAGTTATTTCGATTCGGATACAAAGAGATGGCATAATAACAGACCATGAATATTAAGTACATGAATAACGATATTTATAGAACAAGAAGAAAAAGATGAAGAAGAAGAAGAAAAAGAAAAGGAAGAAGAAGAAGAAAAAAGATAAAGAAGAAGACGAAGAAGAAGACGTAGAAGATGAATAGGACGACGAAGAAGACGAAGAAGAAGACGAAGAGGAAGAGGATGAAGAAGAAGCAGAAGACGAAGAATAAGATCAAGAGGAAGCAGTTGAAGAAGAAGAAGAAGAAGAAGAAGGAGAAGAAGAAAAGCGAAGACTACATAAAAAAGATGGCAAAAAGAAAGCCGTCGAAGATGAAACAAAACATTCTTCATAAATACAGTAGACAGAAAAAAAATTTAATCATGATTTCCACGGTTTCATTTTTAATGAACCTTAATGCGAACATTGTTTTATTAGTGGCCTACCTTAATAAAACAAAAAAAAAACGACAACCAACCATCCCTCTGATTGGCTTGCATATGTGTCGAGTTCACATAAACCCAACGAGATAAACATTCGCTTTACTTGCCTTAACATCAGGCAAAAAAGAAAATATAATGGCCAGAAAAAATAAAAGATGAGAGAGTAGGGAGAGGGGGGAAAAGAGGGCCATTGACTTTTTGATTTAGGTATCAAGCTCTGTTAGGGTGGAACCCACAAATTTTGTAATTAAAAAGAAAAGAAAAGAGTAATTTCCAGGATCCTGACACATGATGATAGTGAGGCCTGACGAAGAGGTGAGGCCTGACGAAGAGTTTGAAACTGATAGAAGTTAAAAAATAAATAAATAAATGCAAGTGAAATTAAAAGCGAAAAAAAGGAAACAATGTGACAGTAACTAATAAGGTATAATACCAGTCCGCTACTACTACTACTACTAGTACTGCTACTACTACTAATGATGATAATGACAGTAATAATAAGAATAACGAAAGATAAAAGAAAGAAAGACAGAATAAAGTAAAAAGAAAGAAAGAAAGAAAGAATAAAGTAAAAAGAAAGAAAGAAGAGAGAAAGAGAAATTAAGAAAGAGAAAGAAAAGAAAGAAGAAAGAAAGGAAGAAGGAAAAAAGAAAAAAGAATAAATTAAAAAGAAAGAAGAAATAAAGTAAAAAGTAAGAAGAAAGAAAAAGGGAAAAGAAAAATAAAGAAAAAAGAATGAAAGAAAAAGAAAGTAAGAAAAAAAGAGGAGTGTTGGAGTAATGAGGTGACTTGCTGTCCCTTAATCTTCAGTGTAAGTCACCAGTTACTTCTGGTATAAGCACAAAGTCTTCGATGATACTGAGTAAGGTGCTGAAGAGATGAAGAGATTGTTGTCAGTCATTCTTCAGCACTGATAACTGAATATCTTATGTGAAAATGCGAATATATTATTATTATTATTATTATTATTATTAATAATTATTATTATTATAATAATAACCCTATTAATGATGACGTTGAAGAATCTTCTAATAACCACATCTCTTAGATTCAAATGAGGACAGAGCAGATTCTGGAATGAAAAATTATATTCAACAAATGCAGAGGATAGACTAGGAAGTAATACAAAAGTAGATATGACTGGGTGAGAAGTGTGAACCAACTGAGAACTGTTCAAATGACGGAGATCTGAACCATCAAATCACTGGTATATTTAATGAAATTTTATTAAGCGTTAATTTTTTTTAAATGAACTTCATTGCTTTTAACTTGATTAGTTTCTATGGCATGGATTTCTTAATTTTTCCATTGTACTGAACGAAACGTTAACAAGAAATTATGTAAGTTTTCGTGAATACTGTATTACATTTTTTTTTTTTTTTTGATAAATTATATTCAAACATTTATAATAAATAAATAAATAAATAATATTCTTTGGAAGTTTAAAATACAAAGGGATCATACAATTCAGGTTTTTTGGTTTGGTTTGTTTAATGGCATATCAACACCTTATGGGTCATTTAATGCCGAAATATAATTTTCTTGGAAGGTATGAAGTAATAAAAATATATGTTATTCTGCTTTCACAGTTGAATGCGTGGTCTTAGATGATACTCAGCTTTTAGCATATACATGTTTGTGTGGATTTGATTACTGGAGGCGGTGATATGTATGTTTTTAGTGTGTGCACTTGTTTGAGTTACGACACTGTTCTTTTTTTATTTTTTTAAGCAATGAAATCAATCTAGGCTGGTTATTACAAATTTCACTGAAAGCAAAAACAAGGAGAGCAACTCAATCATGCGTGTCTACTAAAATACGATTTTTGTAATAAGAAATATATATGTATATATATATATATTGTTTAAATAATGCTATATTTATGGAAGATTAGTGTTATCGCATATAGAAGGCTTGCGGATATAATCAGTGTGAACATAGGAATCAACGCTATATGTTCACTTTAGCTTTCCCATGCATTCTCGGATTTCTGTCCCATATTTTCCGTTGTCTGTTATAAAACCAGCCAGATAAATCTATTTTCTGTGTGTATGATGGAATTTGTTTGGCCTTGAAAAATATTGCGTCATCCGCGATTGCATCACATTTTCATGACGCCCAGATACTATTGTCTTCACTGTCGATTAGTTGTCCCACGACAATTTTCTGCAATGGACATTACTCCAAACAAGCACACGAAAACTGTAACGCTGCGCAAACATACTGGCAAGCTTTACCAATGAGCAAACCAAAGTACTATAGACTGGCCCGGAAATTCTCCTGATTTAAATCGAGTCGAGAATCTGTGGTCAATTTGCAAGGAACGACTTCGTGGAATGGGGCTACGAAGTGCTAATATGTGCACTGGGTCATGTTTCATTGGAGATTTACGTAAAAAAGTAAATAATAAGGGAATTATTCGTTTTGTTTCAATTAATTTGCACAAGGTTGTAACACCAGCCATGATTCAAATTCTAGCTCCCACCTGTGTATTTCTTTTTAATAAATGATCTGTTTTTAATAATCTGGATATTTGAGTGCTTGTCATCCTTAACAATCAAACTGCAATATACTAGGTACACCACTCCAATTACGCTTTTCAAGAAACTTTTCTTTTACTTTTTTTTTTCCACTATATCTTTTTCTGTTCTCCTTTCCTTTTCTACACTGAATTTATATATATATATATATATATATATATATATATATATATATCTTTGTTTCTCTCTCTCTCCCTCTCTCTCTCTCTATTTCTCTCTCTCTCTCTCTCTCTCTCTTTGTCTTGTCTTTCATCTATCTAGTCTATATTTCTTTCTTGTTGGAAGCGAAATCATATCAAGTGTTTTCTCAAAAGCAGCGATTTGTCACTGGGTCATTTTGTCCTTCGGTATTTGCCAGCCAGTTATTTAGTACATAAAGAAAAATGTCGAAGCTTTTTCACCTCAGAAAACCCGGATATTGCACCCCTCTCTCTCTCTCTCTCTCTCTCTCTCTCTCTCTCTCTCTCTCTCTCTTCTCTCTCTCTCACTCCCCCCACCTTTCTCCAACTCACACACACACACGCACACACAAATACACACAGAAACCGCACAATTATACCTTTATACCTGAATTTAGGCATGACTAACACTCGAGTTTAAGACCTATCCTAATTGGAAATTTATGAAATTCATTCAAGCGAAAGACGAGGGAAGGTTCTTCTTTCAGTGTGTACCTCAGTGCTCTGTCGTGCATCGTTCATGAAACGATCTCGTACAGATGACTGGCGATGGCACGAGGACCTTTTCTATTTTTACTACCATATATATACGAGTATAGGGCGAATTTCAAGCAATAAATCATGACTATATACCAAGTTATATGAGTTTTTTTTACACCAAAAAATTGGGAGTCGCAATATACACCGGTAAATTTTTTGAAGAGGATAAAAATCATGGATTTTCTGCGAATGGTTGCACTATAAACAGGCAAATTTTGAATGTAAATAATAATGTTCATCACTACAGGTTCACACAGGAGAGTTGCTTCTTCAACACACCACATCACACATTTCAGCAACCTCGGTTTATAGACAAATAAAGCAAAAAACAATATATGTGTATAGAGTACTATTTACCTTGAAAGCCTTGAATTATCATAAAGCAAAATATGTACCTCGACTGGTAGGACAGCCTGCATTATGTACCTCGACTCGTGGGATTGCCTGCTTTATGTACCTTGACTCGTGGAACAGCCTGCATTATGTACCTAGACTCGTGGGGATGCCAGCATTATGTACCTAGGCTCGTGGGACAGCCTGCATTATGTACCTCGACTCGTACATAAACTTGTGGGACTGTCTGCATTATGTACCTAGACTCGTGGGAATGCCAGCATTATGTACCTAGGCTCGTGGGACTGCCTGCATTATGTACCTCGACTAGTGGGACAGCCTGCATTATGTACCCAGACTCCTGGGACAGCATTTATTATGTAACTTGACTGATGGCACAGACTACATTATGTGCCTCTACTCGTAGGAGAGCTTGTATTATGTACCTCGACTAGTGGGACAGCCTACATTATGTACCTCGACTGGTGGGACAGCCTGCATTATGTAATTCGACTGGTTGGTCAGCCTGCATTATGTACCTCGACTCGTGGGACAGTATGCATTATGTACCTCGACTCGAGGGACACCATGCATTATGTACCTCAACAGATGGTACAGCCTACATTATGCACCTCGACTGGTAGAACAGCCTGCATTATGCACCCCAACTCGTGGGATAACCTGCATTATGTACCGATAATCCTGACAAAATGTTTGTCTTTAGGAAAAATTTATTAATTCTTCATTTACGCAAGGTGTTTGTTGATTTTAAGTGGTATACACAGTGGATGAGGTTTTGCTCGTCATGTAGCGACCAAAGAAAAAAAATCTTTACCCAGGGTAAAAGACTTACCGTAGTCAGGCATGAACAAAATCCAAACCACGGTATCTAAATCGACGTATCTGATATTTTACAGTAAGAGGATTTTCTCACCATTTTGGAGTAGTTTTGTCCAAAAAAGAATCTAGACGATCTATTTGCTATAAAATATGTCCAGGATGATGCCCAGTACAGAAGTATTTGACTACTGCAGACCCACTAATATCGCTCAGAATCTGGGATCGCATTATACATGAGCTAAATGAAAGAAATCAGGATTTTCACAAAATAAAAAAGTAAAAAAAATCAGAGGTAGCACTCTACATGAAGTCGGCTTATATACGTCATTCCAAATATGGTCTCATACTCTGGACAACACTAACAAAATTACTATCAATTATTTTATTATTCGATATTTGAACCCGCATATTCGTCTTGGTTATACTCATAACATTTCAGCTGTGGTACGCTCCGGATTTCTTTAAGTTTACCCTAGACCTCAAGGAGTACTCACATATGCAATCCATCGTTAAAGACGCTTGTAAATGATCGATGTTTTTTTTTAAATCATTTCACCCCAAGCAAAGCAGGAATGCCACTAGTACGCAGGGCGGGTTACAGAGCGTGAAATTGGGAGAAAAGACTTGATATAGAAGAGGGACTGAGGAAATGATAAAAGATGAACGGGCTTTGAGAAGAATATAAGATGGCGATTGACGTTCCATTTAAATTTTTGAAGATTGTACTTATCAGGGAATTAAGAAAACGGGAGGGAGTTT